TAAAATAATAAGGTTTATTATAGAGTTATATAGCAAAAAAGAAGTCTGCATTATAACAGAGTTTGGGTTGATAAAGATATTTGTTGCTGGAGATGAGATTGAGCAAAAAGAGACAATTTCACTATTAGTCTGAAGAATATTTTATGATTTATTATTAAGAAGAATTCAAGATAATCAGCAGTTAGAATATGAAATTAAAACATATGAAGTGCTTAACTTGCAGATAAATAAAATTAATATTAGAAAGGCAAAATAAGCTGCAGTAATATATGCTGATGATACAACTTGGATGGCAAAGAGTAGAGAGAAGATGCAAGAAATCATTCAGATTTTACAAAGATTCTTTAGATTTAATGACATTCAAATCAATAGTTCCAAGTCAAAACTATTAGTAGTTAATTCAGATATAAAAAGAGAGGAGAAGTCTGTTCTGATAAACAATTTTCAACTACAGATTAAAGACAAACATGCATTAATGAGAATGCTAGAAGTGTAGTTAAGTATAGAAGTAAATAAAAGCTTAATTGTTAAAAAGGTAAAAAGAATTATACAACATTTTATATAAAACATACAATTTAAGAAGTTAACTATCAGTTAGTTAATATATATTAATAATATATGTATAATACCAAAATTGATATACATGTTGCAAACTACAAAGGCATTTAAAAAACAACTAATTTGATTATATTAACTAGTAATTAAATTGATCAAGAACAAAGTAGAGCTATCATCAACTATAGAAAATAGTGCAATTATACATTAAGGTTTAGGAAGATATAGAATATTGAATCAAGAAATATTTAATAATCAGTTGATGTTATTGTAAAGAAGACTAAATGAGCTAGATCAAATTGGAAAAATAACAAGAATACAAGTAAAGCAGGGCTTTGTTTTAGCTGGATTAATATCAAAAGAATTAGATGCAGCCTTGTTAAGTAACTTAAGCCAGGTTTGGAAAAATAATTTGGTATATCAAGTTATACTTGAAGTAAAAGAAATAGGTATAACTGTAAAGAGAGAAGATGGTTTGTGGCAGGTTCATAATATAGATAAAACTGTACATAGTTTGATAGAAAAAAAAACATTCAGAGTAGTATGTAGAAGGTTAATGAAGTATAAAATATTTCTTACACAACAGTTAATTGATCAAGATGGCAAGAGAATGATCATATGGAAGAAGTTTAGAATATTATAAACAAGTATATAAAGAGAATGAAAAGCAAAATGGTTTGCAGAAATTGAACAGAAAATGTTAAACAATCAATATAATAAAACAATTCAAGCAGAATTTCAAATACAAGACACAAACACTATAACAATAAGATCAATATGCAAAAAACTAATACAAGATAAAAAAAGGCATGAATAGATACTAGTAAACAAGAAGAATATAAATTTGATGATAGACAAAGTAGTTAAGAAAAAAAAGAAAAATATATTCATAAATTACTGAAGTATATCAAGAATTAAGAATAGAAATTATTTAATATTTGTAGAATGCAAAAAGTGTAATTTGAATAATGTAAATAGTTGTTAACATTAGATTAAGAAAAAAAAAATAGCAGGCATGCTGCCAGGAATTAGACAGAAGAACAAACAGAAGATTCCAGTTTTGTTAAAAAAATTAAGTGAATTTAAGAAGAGCTATACAGAAAATAGAAGCAATAATAAAAAAAGAATAATAGATAAAGAAATAAGATTATATATACATAAGATCAGTCTGTTAAAAATGCAAAGTTTTAATAATAGTCTAGAAACCTTGTTATTGGAGCAAATAGTAAAAAACATAAAAATAAATTATACAAATTACAACTTTTATATAGACAGATTATTAGTAAGAGAGAAAAAAGATTGTAGAATGAGTGCAAGTTGGATACAGGTTAGTGAAGATAAGGATAAATTGATAATGAAAAGGAAAATTAAATGGCTATCATTGACAAAGACAGAGTTAGCTGCAATGTAAATGATAGTATTAGTTGTAGTATATAATAGTAAAATAGTTATTAAATTAGATAGTACAGTAGCAATTGTAAATCTGAAAAAAGAAGAGCCATTATATAATGTTAGAGTATAAAGTAAAAGTAAAAACTTTAGTTTAGTTATAAAGATTAAAGATATGTGCAAGTTGAAGAACATTAGGTTATCATTAGTTAAAGTTAAAGTGCATAGTGAAAGAGTATAAAATAAAAGAGCTGATAAGCTTGTGAAAGAGAATGCATGACATAGTAAGATTACAGACTTGAAGCTTAAGAAACATATAAGGTTTCTATATGCATTATTTTGGAAAGATATAGTAGTAGAGATACCAACAAGAAAGTTTATCAAGATATTAATAAACATAATGAATAGTGCTAAATGATGTTGCTCAAATGTAATAAAAGAGCTAAAACCAAATATAGAAGCACAATATAATTGAAAACAACTATGAAAAAAAAACAGAAATTTAACAAAAATTAAATGTAAATCTTTAGAGGAGAGAAAGAAAATCTCATTTAGAATTAAATATATTTCTAATAATTTGACAGTACTTGGGATATTAAAGAAGAAAGTGTCAGACTTGTATAAGTCAGACATATGTAAAGAGTGCAAAACAGAAAAAGAACCATCAAGGTATTTGTTTAGTTACAAGAAATATAAGAATTATTGAAACAATATTGAAGAGTTAGCATATTGGTTAGTATAGAAAAAGTTTGACAAATTAGATAAGAGCAAGCTTACAAGACTCAATCTGAAAAAAATATTAGTTGATAAAATGAAAATAGATAAAATTAAACATAGAGAGTCATGCATATATGAGTTAGCAGTTAAGAGTATGTTTAAGAAATTGTATGCTAAATAAGTTTCATATAAAGATGCAAAACAAAGTATTAGATTATATATTAAGATTATAAAAAAGATGTTTAGAGAAGAAATTTGGTGACAAAAGTATAAAACAGTAGTCAAGTAAAAGGAAGAAAATAAAATAACATTGAAATTAAAATGAAGAAGAAGCAAGACAGTTGTAAATAAAGAATAAAGTATAAAGAAACTTAAAACTAAAAAAATATTAATAAATAAAATCAGAATGAAGAAAAACAAAAAAAGAAAGACAGAGTATAGGTGATTATTTATAAAAGATGTTGATAAAATAATACAGAATGAAAGTAGTCTATTTTGGTTTAGTTTTTGACAGAACTAACAAAGTTTTCCAATCTAGAAATAGGTTAGTGTGATAAGTTGTATTTAAGTGCAGTTTCTGTACTTAGATGATGCCAGGCTTGCAATTGCAAAGATGAATTACTAGAAATAGATAATGTTTCAATTAGTAAAATTTTGTATTAAAGTTCAGAAAAGGCTGTCAAAAAAAAAAAATTATATAATAATTTCTATACATACTTTTAAATTTTAAAATAATTACATTACATTATATGACATTATATTTTGCATAATATGATATGCATAATGCAGAATGCCTATCTCTAATCATGAAACATTTGTGTAATTAGTTATATAAAGAAATGCAAACTGACATTAGACAATGCAAATATTAAATAAGTTTTTGTAATTATGTGAATTTGTTAAAATTAAAAAACAAGAAATTTATTTAAAAAGACCTAAGTAAAAAGATAATATAAATCTTTAACAATATTACTATAAAAGTTAAACTACTAGAAACAAATACTAATATTAAAGTACCTAAATAAGCAAGAATCTTCAGATTAAAAGTTTTAAATATACCACCAACTAAGCTGCTAAAACAAATCAGAAAAAAAAGATATTAGACTAACCTAATATATTAATAAACTGATTGTAATTCTTATAAACTATCTGAATTGAAAGTCTGAAGAACAAACAAAGATATACTAAAATACTAAAAATATGTTATGAAATATATGCTAAAATTCAAGTAAACTCTACAAAAACATAATAGTTAAAAATAAAACTTTGATTGCAAATGTTGATTATACTATAATAATATCTAAATCAATTGTAAAAATAAATACAAAAGGTTTTAAAAATTTTACTTTAAAGATAAAAAAATCTTAAAGTTGAAACAATGACCTGAACATGACCCAATAATGTTAATACAAATGCAGATTCAAAAGGTTTAAAATAAAACATCCAAGCAAGAATATTAGATACAACAATTAATAAAAAACCTTCAGATAAACTTCTTAAATAGGTAATATAAAAAAATTACACATGTAACCAATTGTATACTCTTTCTGTAATGGTTTACAAGAATCACATTACCAAAAAAATCATTAATAAAAGTTAAAAGATCAAAGAGATCACCTTAACAAAAAAAAAAAAAATTTATAAAAAAAATTTACCTTTTAAGTTTATATATAATTTTAATATAATACTTCCTACCTTTAATATTAAAAAAAAAAAAAACCAATAAAAAAATTCAAATATAAAATACTGTTTAATAATATTTTTACATCTTTTTTTACTATCACCACTAAAAATTTATATTAATTTTTATTAAACAAATTAACTCGACTAAAATATAAAAAATTTTTTTACAAATTATATTAATTTAAAAACATGCAAAAATATTTTTTATTTTATTTATTTTTTTTTATTTATATAATAAAATAAAATTTATACGTAAAATATTAACCAATAAACTTTATGCATATAACCCGCAAAATATAGAGTAAAACTAAAACCAAGTACTTCACGAGATTTACCCGACATTAATCCGGGTCATTCCGAATCAAAGCTAACCGAATAATTCCAGTCATCATGCACGAGTCAGGAATGCGATTTTACCTATATACAAAGCTCTAACTTTAATCCAAAATTGATTTTAAATACTATTTTGTGGCTTTAGCCATCCCCTTAAAAATAATTGGAATTTTCGGAATATAGTTAATAAGCCCACCTAAAATACGAGCATAATCAGCGAGAGTTTCTGAATTATAGTTTATAGTTCAAAAAAAATTGAAATGTTATTTGAAGATAATAGCCGACTCGGCCGGCTTAGCCATATCAAAATTATCGATCGCTACTTTTGGGGCTCCGCTGTATGGGTATTTGTAGTCGTCGTTTGATAGCTATAAGTTTGTGGCTGTTGATAATATTGTTGGTAATAATTTTGCTGCTGATTATATTGATCTTGAGAATATTGCTGACCATAGTAACCGGAATAAGTCTGCTGTTGCGTAGTAGTTTGATCTCCAGTTCCAGGTGCTGAAGCAGCAGCAGAGGAATGAATAGCTGTGCCAGTTGTTACAGCACCATATACAGATGCGGCAGAACCATACGCACTGGGTGTATGGGTTGTATTTATAGTGAGACTTTGCGGACCAGCGGTGTTAGAATACTGTGAAGTTGTTGTAGCAGCTGTTGTTCCATAAGTGTAACCATATTGTGAATAGCCGTAATTTGGCGCTACAGTGACAGATTGACCATCTTGCTTGACATCAGTTCCCTGACCAAGTTTGGTTTGATTTACTGCTGGAGTCTGATAATAACCAACTTAAAAATAATAACCAATTTAAAAAATTGACATATAATAAAATTGATTTAAAAATAACTGAAACCATGCATACCTTGTTGACTAATAGGTTGTCCAACAGGCTGTCCAACAGGTTGTACTACAGGAGCCGGTGTAGATTGTCCAGCGGGAGATTGATTATATTGTGTAGTTTGGCCGTAAGATCCATACTGTGTTTGAGCAGGAAATTGGTTGTATGCTGTAGGAGCTTGAGTAGTATTATATTGTCCGTATTGGGCATAGTTTGTAGACTGTTGGCCTTGTGTCCCATATACACCAGTAGTAGGATATCCGCTAGATATGGGTTGTCCGTAATCATTTGTAGTGTTTTGAACGTAGGTAGTTTGTTGTGGTTGCGTGTTATATATTCCAGTAGAATATCCATTATTCTGATATCCGGAACCTCCTGTATTACTTGAGTTGGCGCTGCTTTGCTGATAGCCGGTGCCTTGTTGATAGTTTCCTTGTTGATAGTTTCCTTGCTGATAATTTCCTTGTTGATAGCTGCCTTGTTGATAGCTGTTTTGCTGATGTTGATACGGAGTTTGTTGATATCCACCCGATCCGTAATCCCTATATCATGTGTAACGAGAAACAATATAAATTATTTGAGAATAATCATTCCATAATAATTTTGATAACAAGCTATCGAGATTAACCTGTTTCCATATCCCCTATTTTGGTCACCATGACGTGATGGCCTTTCGCGCTGTGAAGGTGCAAGCAAGAAACATAGAAGAAAAAAAAATATATACGATACAAATCATCAACAACCATGTCAAAATTGGGCCTTTAAATTACAAAAAGGAAAAAAAGAATTATCCAAAAAAAAAAACTATAGCAATCACACTCAACAAACAAAGGCAAACGACAGTACATTTCCAGATGCAGCTTTTTCAAGAATCAATTGTTTCGCGACAGTAATATTTTCAGCAGAACCTATAGCAAGCGACGTCATCATGCACACAATGCGCATCGAGCAACTGACATTGAATTTACAACGTTTGGAGCAATAAAGTTATCATATGCAGCTAGACAATGAGTTATACATATGCTTACCGATAATTTGTACATTGCGCTCGACTGGCGGAACACCGTGAACAGGTTCAATTTGTATTTTTGCTCCTGACTGCTGTTGAAGTGCTCTTACCGTTTCCCCTCCTATAAAAATCAGTTTTCCAAGTATTAATATCCCCGAAATAAAAAACATCAAATATAATTTACTTACCCTTTCCTATGATTAATCCAACAGAATCATTCGGAACTTGGATAGTGATACTATCTTGATTAGTTTTTCCTGTAGGATGTCCACCATATGGTCCGTAATGACCACCACCACCATAGTTATTACCATGATTATCATTACTATAAGTGCTGCCACCGTAACTGTTTGAGCGGTAATCTTTAGGATAACCCTTAACAACAGTTATGTTGAGAATTTACGGCGCGAAAATTAAAAAATAAGATAGAAGAATAAATAAAATAATAGAAATTACATACCCTATTAGGTTCAGAATCACCAGTATTTACAATTTCATCAATTAGAGCTTTGGCTCTTTGAACAGCAGCTTCATCTCCGATTAAAGTTACTGATCGATCATTAGATTGTGGGCTAGCTGCACTATCCGGTGTTACGTTGATCCGTGCACCACTTCGATCCTGCAAGTCTCGAATGGTTTCGCCACCTCGGCCGATAACAACTCCAACTTTACTACTTGGAATGTGAATTGTGATAGTTGAACGATTACCTCCACCTTGTAAATCGCGACGATTAAGAGCATTGCTGTTGATAGCATCATCGACAAGTTGTTGAATCATCCCTTTGGCATTCTTAACATCATCTGGTGTGCCGGTAATAGTTACTCGTCTTTCTATAACATCTGGCGGTTGATCTGTGATCGGTGATTTTAAAAAATCTCATTAGATTCGTAAAAAGATAAAATTACGACCATATATTTTAATCACCTTGTGAAAATTGGATCCGTGCTCCTGTCTGTTTTTCAATTCGCTTCAAATTCTCTCCTCCTCGACCAATAACTAAACCTACAACTGCATTAGGTACTTTAAATTCTTCTTGAGTTGAAATACGAGACGAATCTCCGAGTGGCCCATAATGGGAACCATGGTATGAACGTCGATCTTCACTTCCTATACCGTAACGATGTCTATTATTACTATTATCGTCTAAGTAATTGAATTAAGGTTAAGGAAATTTTTTGATTAAATGAAGTTATTATTTACTATAAACATATAAATGCAAAGAAGGATACGCTCTGGGCGAGATGAACCACCATCATAAGCCGTTCTTTTTGAATCCCTTCCATAATCTTCGTAACGACTTCCTCGATCTCGTCTATTGTAAGAGTCTCTACGATAATCATCTCGGTAATCATCTCGACTTTCTCTAGGACCATGTGAACTATAGCTGTCATCGTGCGATCGTTTAATACCTTGTTGAGTATCTTAAATATACACTTGAATATTAGTGTTTATCGCAAGTTATAATTGATTATGAAAAAAATCCTTACTGTTGTTATTGTTATTACTGCCAACGTTATTATTAATATTAATATTATTGTTATTATTATTATTATTGCTTTGGGGCACTGTATTTGTGTCGCCTGTCTGTAACAATTTGGCTGCGATAGCCTTTACTTTCGCCATCGCATCACTAAACTCAACTGGTCCTGAAGCTGAGGTAAGTGAAGAAGGTGGTGGTACATTGGAGTAGTCTGTGAGGGCCATGGAATTATCCAAAAATTGATCCTCGGTTTTATGTATTTCTGCCATTATTGAATCTTCCTCAGCTTTGTGGATTTCTGTCATGGTAGAATCTTCCTCGGTCTTGTGAACTTCTGCCATAAATGAATCATCGGCTTTGTGAACTTCTTGAATTTCCACCATCTTTGAATCTTCGGTTTTGTGAACTTCCACCATAGATGAATCTTCGGTTTTATGAACTTCCGCCATGGGTGAATCCTCGGTTTTGTGAACTTCCACCACCTGTGAATCTTCGATTTTGTGAACTTCCACCATGAATGACTCTTCCATCTTGTGAATTTCTGCAATCGTTGAATCCTCTTCAATTTTATGAGCTTCCGCCATAGATGAATCTTCGGTTTTATGTGCTTCTATCGTCGACGAATCTTCGATTTTTTGTGGTCCTACTATCGATGAATCTTTGATTTCATGTGTTTCTACCATCGATAAATCTTCGATTTTATGTGGTTCTACCGTCGATGAATCTTCGATTTTATATAGTTCTGTCATTGATGAATCTTCGATATTATACGGTTCTGTCATTGATGAATCTTCGATTTTATGTTGTTCTACCATCGATGAATCTTCGATTTTATGTACCATCGATGAATCTTCGATTTTATGTACCGTCGATGAATCTTCGGCTTTGGGTATCTCTGTCATCGACGTATCTTCTTTAATTGCGTGTATTTCTGAAATCGATGAATCTTCCTCTGTTTCGACTATTTCTGCCACTGATGAATCTTTTTCAAGTTCGATTATCTTTGTCATCAATGAATCTTCGGTGTTATGTACTTCAACTATCGATGAATCATCACTTTTAGATCCTTCAGTTACCAATGGTTCTTTTTCAGTTACCAATGGTTCTTTTTCAGTTACCACTGGTTCCTCTTCAGTTGCCAATGGTTCCTCTTCAGTTACCACTGGTTCCTCTTCAGTTGCCAATGGTTCCTCTTCAGTTGCCAATGGTTCCTCTTCAGTTACCAATGGTTCCTCTTCAGATACCAATGGTTCCTCTTCAGATACCAATGGTTCCTCTTCAGTTCCCAATGGTTCCTCTTCAGTTTTAATTATCTCAGCCGTTGATGAATCTTCTTCAGTTTGAGGTATTTCAGGTGTTGTCTCAGAGTCGGCTTGAACGGAAAGATGTGACGGTGCAGAAGCTTGTTGACCAGAAATTTCTGAAGTTAGGTCCGGCTCATTGGCCTCGGAAGTCTCCATAATCTCAGTATTTTCTACTGTATTAGTAATTTCAGTAACTTCAGGATTTATATCATCTTCCATTGCCTCAGAGGTTAGCTGTTCTTCGGCCATCTTTTTATTTTTTTTATATGATTAGTTTCGTAAAAGTTTATATAAAACTTGGATGTTAATCGTGTGACATAATCCTGTAATCTCGTTAATCTCGTGTTACTGTTATATCACCTGACTTGTCGCCGTTTTAGGAACCGTCGATGTTACACCATTTTTATTACTAAGTAAAGGGGAACTTTTGCATTTGGGAAGATATACCGACACAGCATACACGTGACTAATTCCGCTAGACCTAATCTTAAATGTCGGCCATGCTGTGTCTATTAGTTTAATGCTGGCTATGTCGGTATATTTGGGGATTGCTACAGACATAGCTTATCGACACAGCAAATGACCAGCACTAACCTTAACGACATAGCATGGCCTGCATTATAGTTAAGGTTAGTGTTAGAATATGGCAGAATTAGAGGAATTATATCACGTGCTGCAATCCGAAAATTCTACGGACAGAGCTTAGGGACAATCTCCCCAGTATCGCCGTCAAAATTTTCACTTTCACGTGACCGCGTTTAAAAATCTTTAAATTCGTTTAAGTTAGGGTTAGCGTTTATAATAGGGCTAGGTTTTAGAAAAGTAATAGTAAAATCACTCGAGGAATTTTTTTTGTTAGAGCTCAAAAGGTGGTTTCTTATGCAAGTTTTTGAGGAATAAGCGATTTTTGAAAAGCGAACGTTTTGTTTTGATCTTCCTGATCGTGTAACGTTACATTAAAACGAAACACACTATTGGATGATCATCACGTGAAAGTGAAAATTTGACAGAGATCCTGGGGTAGTTTTAGGAACAGAGCAAATCACGTGAATAGTTAGTTATTGGTTAGGATAAGAGGAATTTTAATAATACTACGTGAGTTTGTTCTGTTCAGTTCTGTCCCTAAGCTCTGTCTGGTAGCAATCTCAGGTAGCAATCCTCTTGCATTTTTCAGAAAATCATGTGACAGTCAACCAATCAGAAACTACATTATAATACATGATATCAACAGATAGATAATCATTAAACTACACTATCAATCAACAAGTGTTTGAAGTAAAATAAGTCATGTTTTAAAAAAATAAAACTCTTTACTTAACTTATAATAACCAATTTACAAATATAAAAATTTTTTTAGAAAAGTTTTTGATAAGAAGTTACATGTTCTTTAATAATGTTAATTTTTTTTTTTTTTAACTTTAGCAGTTATGTTAGTACTTTATTAAGATTCTTGAAACTATACAGATTACATAGAATTTTCCTAATATATAAGTCTAACATTACCTGGTCACCCAAATAGTACCTAAGTATGATCTGCTGCACTATCCCAGTTAGAGATAGACTGCTTGTCTGACTGCTGCCCTACAATAGGACATCATCAATTTGATAACATCTTTTCATAAAGAAGCAAAAAACAAAAAAAAAAAATTTTTTTATGTAAAAAAACAAAACAGAAGTATAAGAGTAAATGATAAAAAATACAAATTAAGAAATAAAAGAGAAAAGAAAATAAACGAGAAAAAAGAAAATATGTGAAACTTGCAATTTACAAATATCAGACGATCACAATTGTATGCCTGTGTCAGGCTTTTAAAAATTATAAATTATACTAAATAGAAATAACTCTACTATTTTTCTATTTACTTAGATTATTTAACAAAAAACTATGTAGGAAAGAAAAA